GAGCCTCTACAAACCTCTGTAACAGCTCCAAAGAGAGTGGCAGAGCGAGGGTTCAAAGTGGGGTCAGGCTTCAAAGTCAGTGCATCCACTACTAGCTCATGCTATTAGAAAATACAAAGGTAGGGTCACCTGAGTGGCTTAGTCGGTTAAATGTCTGACTTTGGCTCAGGTCATGAACTCGCAGTTCGTGGGTTCAAGCACCACATCGGGCTCTGTGCTGACAGCTCGGAGCCTGGAGCTGCTTCAGATTCTGTGTCTCCCTCTCCCTCTGCCCCTGCCCAACCCCCCCTCCCGCCCCCGCTTATGCTCTTGTCTCTCTCTCTCTCAAAATCAAAGTAAACACTAAAAAAAATTAAGAAAAAAGAAAATACAAAGGTAAAAATGAAAGAGCATAAGTGCAACAAATAACATAAAGTACAAAGAAAAATTCTGGTGAGGAATGTTTACAATGTATGAAATTACAAACCCTTACCAGGGGGTATAAGAAAGGCAGGCCTATCTTCCAGAATGTGTATGTATATATGCACGCACATGCACACGTACTGTGCTGCACGTATACACACATACGCTGTGGAAGCTGGAAATTCAATGTCTGACTTCCTCATGTTTCCAGGAATTAAAAAAGATTCCCTACTGCCACTCTAAAATGAAAACTGACTTAGAAAATGTTCCCAAGTACCGGCAATGACCACAAGCAGATTTAGTTTTATTTCTCATGTGATGTGAAGATAAGTTGGAAAATATAAGTACACATAGGATCAGGATACAATCTTTTCAGGAATCTATAATTTGCATCGATTATTTTTCTACTAGAAATAGGAAGTTGGAGAAATAGCTGCGTGCCTGTGGAAATTCTATCTTCCTGTGGTATTTAGTTACGGCTGACCCGCCCTCCTCATCTGGGGGTTAAAACCGACCTTCTTGACCACACAGATGTGCACTTGTAGAGGCTGAACCTCCAAAACCACATTAAAATGGATCACAGAGAGGAAAGTATCACTGATTGTCACTAGGGCTGTCAAGACAATAAGGCTACATCACCAAACACTGTGCACCATCAAGTCAAGGAAGGACTGTGTCCTATCCGTTTTATATCCCGCTATTGAACCCAGAACCCCAAGCCATGGAGTCTGGCACAGAGCACGCAGGAGCTTCCCGTCTTTATCAAGGATCCTGGTTTCTAGCATTAACCTTTCAGTTTTACAGAATTTAGTCACTTGTTTAAAAGCAAACTTTAAGTTTGAACCCCAAAAGTTAAAACCATGATATTTTGCCAAGTTAAAGGGCTTATTGTCTGCACTCATTATACGACCAACTCTCTCTAAAGGATGAGAATTGTTTTCTGGTTTGGACTGCATGATGGCCTCTGGGCCTCAGTTTCCCTAAATGTAAAACTTGGGATAGTGGGTATCCAAGGTTCACTTAAATGGCATTATTCTAGGATTATACAATACAATGCACTCTCACAAGACAAAATTGCTGTTTAACCGAGTACTGAAAGATTTCCAAGTTGACCTCTGTTAAAATCTGTAAAGTGTGTTCCAAATTCACAAGAGGATCCCAGAAAACAAATGGGCACCTTCATATCAACTATCTGAACACTGGCCTACGCTTCTACATGTTCAAGGCAGTCTGTCTTCTCACAGCCGGCCCAAAGGTCCACGGTGCCAATAAGGATAAACTCAATTAGCCAAGTTTCACAAAAGTTGTATTTTTTAAGTTTATTTATTTATTTTGAGAGAAAGAGAGCATGCATACATCCACACAAACAGGGGAAGAATAGAGAGAGAAGTGGGGGGAGAGAAAATCCCAAGCAGGCTCCATGCTTAGTGCAGAGCCTGACATGGGGCTCAACCCCCCGACTGTGAGATCATGATCTGAGCCAGAACCAAGAGTAGGATGCCCAACTGACGAGCCACCCAGGTGCCCCAAACTTGTATATTTTAACGGGATTCAAACGTCATTCTACTACACCGAGGTATACACCCAAGAGAAATGAAAAAATATGCCCATATAAAAATACGTACCTGAATGATCATGATAGTATTATCCCTAACACCCAAGACATTCAAATAATCCAAATGTCTAACTGGTGAATGCATAAGCAAAGTGTGTTTTATCCCTACAATGGAAGAGTATTAGTCATCAAAAGGAATGAAGTGCAGGTTCATGGTACAATATGGATGGACCTCAACTGGAAACATATTAAGTGAAAGATGGTCACAAAGGATCCCATATTTTGTTCATTTTATATGAAATGTCCAGAATGGGCAGAAAGTAGATCACTGGTTTCCAGGGGCTGCCACTGGCAAGGAAAATGGGGGTTTGAGGAAAATGGGGAGTGACTGCTTAAGGGTACAGGGTTCTGTGGGGGGTAAAGTGTTGTAACATTGGTTATGAGGATACTTGCACAACCTTGTGAATATACTAAAACCCGCCAAATTGAATACTTCAATGCATAAATTGTATGGAATGTGAATTACATCTCAATAAAACTATTACCAAATAAAAAGAGAAAGTCATACCCATAGGTTCAGCCATCCTGGAGGTGCACCCTGGAGCGACCTTAATATACAACACAATAGCAGATTCTGATATCTTGGCATCAAGCTTCAAAGGTGAGGTCTAGGGGTGCCTGGATGGCTCAGTCAATTAAGTGTTTGACTCTTGATTTCGGCTCAGGTCATGATCTCACAGTTCATGAGATAGAGGCTTGCATCGGGTTCTGTGCTGATAACATGGAGTCGGCTTGGGATTCTCTCTTTCCCTCTCTCTCTCTCTGCCCCCTGCCCAAAAATCAATCAATCAATCAATCAATCAATCAAAGATGAGGTCTAATAGACTCTGCCATCTGAATCAGACTTAGCTTGGTCACCTTTCCTTGGGAAAATCTGACTGCTCTGTTAGTTCCAAGGATGCAATATGCCATGCTTTCCCAAGTTGAGGGGCCTTCTCTGTCAGGAAAAGAACTAAAATCAAGGATAGCAGAGTACTAGACGAAACAGTAATTCTACCAAAGGCAACGTTCAAAAGTTTGAGATTAACAGATTTGAGGGTGTACAGACAATAGTAGGATTTCCTTCTGCTCTTGTAATAAAAGACACAGCTCCAGGCCCCTGGTGATACTGCTGGCATGTGGTGGTTCAGAAGTGGTAGAGATAGTTGATATTTTGCAATATGTCATAGAAAGTTCCAGATATCTATAACAGCGGTTGAATGGGGGACCATTTTTGCATCTCGCCAACTACTTCTAAAGGAATTCTCAAGACTTCTCAAGAAAGCACTAGTTCCTATTCTCTCCAAAGGCATGTCAACCGGAAGGTTTCCAACTATAATAAGGGCGGTGTCCAGGGTCCTGAACTCGGAGCAGGAGTTAAGTTCTGGGCAGCAGCACAGGTGAGGCAGTGTACTTGGGGCTGAGACTATGTGCCCTGGAGTCAAGAGACACAGCCATCAGTTAAGGTCCAGGTGAGTAAGAAAATCTAAATTCCTAGTTAGTTGGGTGGGCTTCTAAAAACCAGGGAGAAGCAAGTAAGAAAGCAGAGAGAATCTGGTGGCAGCTAAGTATTCTTTTCTTAAATCCTATGTGCACAACTCTATATGAAAGGTAGTAGCTTAGCTGAAGCCTGGGGGTAAAACACAGGCCACTTCCTCTGGGTCTACTGCAGGCTGGCAATGTCAGAGAACAGGTGTGTGTGTCAGGATGGGTGGGTTTAGAGGTTGAATTAGGACAGGGCAAAGACAACTACCACCAAGTCATGGCGACTGGCTGGGAGGACTGGGAATTTACCTAAGAGCCTGGGGGACACAGAATGAGGGGCTCAGGTACAGTGACAGGACCATGAGCTCTAATACGTGATAGGGAGTTCCAAGCAGTAGGCTCAGGGCCACCAGGAGGGCTGGAGGACGCACTTGAACCAACCGCCTTCCAAGGCAGCAGCTCCTTGTATTCTCCCCACCATTGGCTGGGGCTGAAGTCAGAGCACATTTTTTTTAAAAAAGTTTATTTATTTATTTTGAAGAGGGAAAGAGAGAGGGAAAGAGAGAACTCAAGCACGGGAGGGGCAGAGAGAGAGAGAATCCAACGCAAGCTCTGCACTGTCAGTGCAGAACCTGACAAGGGGCTCAAATTCACAAACCGTGAAATCATCACCTGAGCTGAAATCAAGAGCTGGATGTTTAATTGACTGAGCTACCCAGGCGCCCTTGAAGTCAGAGCACGTCTAGCCACCAGGTTTTGCCACAACTGCTGGAATCCAGGGTTAGTCAGGGGTCCTGGAGTCCCAACTGGATGTGTCTCCTTCACGTCAGCAGAAGATCTAGCTTTCCAATTATTTCTTTTTCTTCCAAAAAAGAGAGCCCTGGAGAATGACTATCTGGACTCCTGATCTCTGCTCATCAACTCTCTTTTGGATCCTGGAGGGCATAAGAATCCTGGTGCCAGCTTCCACCCTACTGAGGCCACCTGACTGTCTGTATTAGCACTTCCTCATCCTAACAGGTCCGCTGGCTACACACGTTACACACCCGTAAATGCACACACGGAAACTGCAGTCGTCAGCGTGCTCCACACTGGTCTCGAGCCCAGTGTGCAGGTAGGAACCTAACTGTCCCGAGGCTGACTCCACGTCAGATATGGCAATCCCAGGCCACCTCAGTTTGTGACACTGACTTACGGGCAAGGTTGCCTCGACTTATCAGTTCTGCATTTTCCTATTTATTCCATATGAATCAGTGGCCTCTTTCCCCATCTCATTTATGCATTTGCTGAGGCCAAAGGAGCATAACATTTTTTTTTTCCGGTCAGGATATAACACCACTATCCTTTATCTTCCCGGAATAATCACACTGGAAGAGAAAGAAAGAGAAGGCATAGTTTTCAGTTACGCCTTTACCTCCTTTAGATTTTTCTAAGTTGCGTACTTGGCTTAGCCCATCCAGTGATTTCTGGAACTATTAGCAAGGCAAGACAGGGCCGGCGCCCGGCGGGGTTCCAGTACCTCCCAGACAGGTGGCGGTGCAGGGGGTGAAGCCAGCGTACTCCCAGTGGTACGTCACGCGGCCGTCCTCCTGGGCAGCGGCGCTCCGGTCGCAGGGCCTGCGGAGGCACGGCCGCCTGGTGGGCAGCCGGGGGCCCTCGCACTCTTCCTCGGGCAGCTCGGTCTCCGTCTGCGTGAACGTGAGCAGCACGCGGCACTTCACTTCTCGGACCTGGACGCCCGGCCCGCACGTGGCGCTGCAGGCCGCCCAGGGCTCCGGGACGAACCTGCGGAAAACCCGGAGTCACCGTTACACACGCCCAGCGGCCACCGCACTGTCCGCAGGGAAGACATGACTGTCCAGGGGGAATCCGGGACACCTGAAAGGCCGTATTTTTCCTGATGTTCAACTATGTCGTTAACGAATTTTCAAGTCTTATTGGCAACAGAATTTTTCACTGGAGTGAATGTTTGCATCCATTTTATTTTTTAAATTTATTTACTTTTATTTTATTTTTTTTACATTTTAAATGTTTATTATTTTTGAGAGAGAGAGAGAGAGCACAAGCAGAGGAGGGGCAGAGAGAAGACGCAGAATCCCAAGCAGGCTCCAGGCTCTGAGCTGTCAGTACAGAGCCCAACGTGGGGCTCAAACTCACGAACTGTAAGATGATGACCTGAGCCGGAGTCGGACGCCCAACCAACTGAGCCACCCAGGCGCCCCTTAAGTTTATTTATTTTGAGAGAGAGAGAGCAAGCAGGGGTGGGTTAGAGAGAGAAAGAGACAAAGAGGGAGAGAGCAAGCAGGGGTTGGGTCAGAGAGAGACAGAATGAGAGAGAGGGAGACAGAGACAGTCCCAAGTCTGACAGTGCAGAGCCCAATGCAGGGCTCGAACTCACGAATCATGAGATCATAACCTGAGCCAAAATCAAAAGTCATATGCTTAACTGATTGAGCCATGCAGGTGCCCCCGATGTTTGCATCCATTTGAAAATTCAGGGGCTCCTGGGTGGCTCAGTCAGTTAAGCATCCAACCTCAGCTCACATCATGATCTCATGGCTTGTGGGTTCAAGCCCTGTGTCGGGCTCTGTGCTGACAGCTCAGAGCCTAGAGCCTGCTTCGGATTCTGTGTCTCCCTCTCTCTCTTTCCCTCCTCTGCTTGTGCTCTGTCTCTGTCTCTCTCTCTCTCAAAAATAAACATTAAAATTTTTTTTAAATATTAGAAAAACCTCAAATGCTGTGCTATCTCCCTTTGTACAGCAGTATTAAAATTAGGTTTCTTAAAAATTTGGTAATAAGTAAACCATAATGTAATTGTCCTTTCTAATCTGAGTTCTTCTATAATATGGAGAAATTTTCATCAATATTTATTCAACAAATCTTTATCAGGCTTATCCTTTAACAGATAGAGCTTTATTAAACTCTTAGTATTTAAGATAAATGTCTTCTGCAGAGTAGATGAAGCTTTCATATTATTTCCTACTTACATAAATACACTAAACTTCATCTTCTTGAAAATATCCCTGATATTTCACAATATGGCTGAATAAAGTATTTCTGATCCTGAATTATTGCCCACTAAATCGGAGCTTGTCAATCTACGGCCTGTAGGTCAAGTCCCACCCACCTGTTTCTCTACAGACTACAGAATGACTTTTATAGTTTTAAATGGTTGGGGGATAGGGAAGAAGGATAATATGTTATGAATGACGTAAAATTCAATTAAAGTACCCATAATTGTAGATTTATTGGTACACATATGGTCACTTGCTCTCCTATTGTTCATGACTACTTTTATGTTACATGGCAGAGATGAGGATTTTCCACAGAGACTGTCTGGCCCACAAAGCCTAAAATATTTACTATCTGGGCCTTTGCAGAAGATGTTTACTGATTCCTGCACTGAATTTAACAGCATCGATTCAGTAGGGACACATGTATTTAAGTTATCCTGAAGCAACACTTGCATCGTGAGATATTCACAAGTGACAGGCAAGGAAGAGCTCAGTGACAGAATAAGTTTGGGAAACTAAGGGCACAATAATGCTCAACAGGTTTATTTACTGCAAAAGTTTTCCAAAGACTATGATCTATGAACGCATGCTATAAATGCCTACGGGGGATGTAGTGTGCATCATTTCCTAAGTGTAAGTGAATACAGATGCCTGTTCACAGGATAATGTACTAAGTCACTCCAGAAAATGGTTAAGATATAGTTCCAAGGGCTCATGTTCAAAATCTCAGAATGGGTAGTAAGGGTCTCTCAGAGCCCTCCAGCCTTCTCTCCCTGGACAAGACTTTATCACACTTGTCCACAATCCAATCAGCAGAAGAAAACTCCACTGGGATACATGAGCCCCGTAAAGAACTACCAGTAAACCCTCCAAGTTCTGTTTACTGCATTGAAGAGTATTGGTGTAGAACTCCCTCCCCTAACCTTGGCCAGGAGAGGGCTCACCCAACTTCCCAGCAGGGAGGAATATTGGCATATCTGCACAATGCTCTTCTCTCTCCCTGTTGTTTTTCCCGGTAGAAATGGAAAGAAAATGCCTGATTAATTTTAAGATGAGGCATCCATCCAATGTAATAATATGAGGCCGATTAATTCAGAAGGAATAGTCTCTTCTTAGAGACAGTTAAATGAAGTATGGGGTGGCTTCTATACTGGCATCTTTTGTCTAAACATACACAGAAAGGCATACGTATGTATGCGTAGTATATATGTTATATACTGGTATACACATTTACAGCACAGATGTCTACATGTGATTTACATATAATGTCTCTTTTCTGGGAGCGATCACATGTGTCAGGGTCTACAGTGTATGATGAGGGGGCTTCCCCTTTTGTTTATAGCTTAAAAAGGTTTGAATTTTCTAACCATGTGCACACTGCACTTTTATGACCACCTTGTTTTCCCCTTCCTCTCTCCTTAGTAATAAAAACCAAAACTTGAGATGTAGATTCTTTTCATTCACACCACACCCCTGTGTCTCCTGTGACTCAGAGCCCTGTAAGAAGATGGGGCTGGAGGGAAGGCTCACTTCAGTTCCCAACAGGGCAAGTGATGGTCACATCCAGTGCTTTTGTAAGGTGTCCTGGACCTTCCAAGTTGGCTTTCAGAGACTCTTTTAGGGGTCCTCTTAAAAACCGGATGTGAGAGCTGTCCAAATTAGCCATGAGTGGTTTAAAGGGGGGAAATAAAGCTATGGCAATTCCAACTTCATGTACGAACTAGCATGATGTTAGCTGTGGATTTTTCTAATTTTTCACTTATTATTATTATTTATTTTAAAATGTTTATCTTGAAAGAGAGAGAGCATGAGAGTGCATGCACAAGCAGGGGAGGGGCAGAGAGGGGAGAGAGAAAATCTCAAGCAGGCTCCACATGGTCGGCGCAGAGCCAGACATGGGGCTCAATCTCATGACATTGACATCATGACCTGAGCTGAACTCAAGAGTCAGATGCTCAACTGACTGAGCCACCCAGGTGCCTCATTACTGTCAAAGGATTTTTTTGTATTTGAGAGAGAATGAGTGAGCACATGAGCTGGGGGGGGGGGGTGGCAGGGGGGCAGCCGCAGAATGAGTGAGAGAGACAGAGACAGAGAGAAGGAATCTTAAGCAGGCTCCACTCCCAGGGTGGAGTCCAACATGGGGCTCAATCACACAACCCTGGGATCATGACCTGAGCTGAAATCAAGTCGGTCACTCAACTGACTGAGCCACCCAGCTGCCTCTGTTTAAACAAAATATATTATAGCATTCATGCAGTTCTGAATCTTGTTTGGCTTTGTTTTTCCCTCGCAGAAAAAAAAAATTAAGGATGGAAAAAAGAAACAGAGCTGCATGAAAACATCTGAAGCGCCACGTCTGGGCAAAACACAACCGGAGAGAAAGAGCACAACAGAAGAACTTCAAAAGAGTAGCACCTCACTAATGTGAGAGTTTATTCATGAGATGATAAAATGACAGAATAAAACGGAAAACTAGAGAGCTGCAGAAATTAACTGAAACCTATGGACACGGTCACAAATCTAAGCTGGGACTAAGAATCAGGGAAACACAGAGGAAACAGGGCTGACCATCATATGAAGGACACGGAGACCCAGAAGCGCATGCAGAGTTGAGCAAGAGGGAGAGAGAGCTTTTTTTGTTGTTTATTTTTTAATTTATCTTTTGAGACAGAGTGGGAGTGAGAGGGGGGCAGAGAAAGAGAGGGAGACACAGAATCGGAAGCAGGCTCCAGGCTCTGAGCTGTCAGCACAGAGCCCGGTGTAGGGTTCGAACCCACGAACTGTGAGATCATGACCTGAGCTGAAGCCAGACACTCAACCAACTGAGCCACCCAGGCGCCCTGGCAGTTTTTAGAGACAAAATGAGAGAGAACTGAAATAATCCAATATTGGAGATTCCTGGATTCTTCAAGTCGAGGTTCCAGCACATGACAAAGTATTCAGAAATAAAATATGTTAAAAAAAAAAAAAGTGCCTAAAATACAGCTTGGAGAGGCACACTATCTCCCAGGAAAAAGTGATAAAAAGTGATGAACATAAAAACCTAGAGTTTTAGGCAGAATAATGGCCACCCCAAAGATGCTCACCCCCTAGTCCCTAGAATTTATGAATATGTTATATTGCATGGCAAACGGAATTTTGCAGATGTGGTTAAGGTTATGGACCTCAAGATAGGCAGACTATCCTAGCAAGATAATCCAATCACACATTCTTAAAAACATAGAAATTTCTTTGGCCGGAGTCAGAGAGATGCAGGAAAAGAGCGCAAGAGATTCAGAGCATGAGAGGTTCTCCAGCTGCTGTTGCTGGCTCAGAGACGGAAGGGGCCAGGAGCCAAGGAATGCAGGAGGCCCCTGGACGTTGAGAACAACTCCCGGCCAATAGCCCGCAAGGAAATGGAGGTTTCAATTCTACAACTACATGGAACTGAATTCTGCCAACCACCTGAATAAGACTGAAAGGAGATTCTCCCTCAGGGCCCCAGACAGGCATTCAGGCTGAGAGACACCTTGATTTTGGCTTAGTGGGCACCAGCGTAGAGGAATTGTTTCAGCCTACTGGGCTCCTGACCTATAGAACTGGTAAATCACTACTGCAGCCATAGAAAAGGGAAACACTTGGCTAAAAAACGTTTTAGAAACCTGGGGCTTTGAAATAGGTCGGTAAGAAAGCAAGCTATGTCAATTTACTCATTTTGACATGGAGAAGTCAACAAAAATGGGATGTTGGTGATAAAAAAAAAATAGAAAAAGGTGAAATTACAAAGGA